GCCAATGTCCCCACACGGGCTGGGGAAGGGAAACCGAGGCAGGGAGTGGGAGTGGTGGAGCTCCCCGGGAGCCCCAGATGTGCCTGGGCGCTGCGCTCGCCCCGTTGAGCAAAGCTTCCCCTTTTCGTGGGGCATGGGGCAGAGGGGACCAAAGGGGGGGACACACGAGTCCAGGGGCCACCCCGTTAGCTTGTACCGCCCTGGTGGCCCCATTTGGGGTCTTTGGGGATTTACCAGCCCCGGAGCAGAGCCCAGCCATGGTGTCACTTTGGGGAGAGTGTTAGGGGGACACACAAGGCTCCTTTTTGGGGGTACTCCGGGTTGGCAGATCAGTTCTCTGCCCTGCCCTCCCTCCTATTGCATAACCCTCCTACTCCCCTGGCACCCCACTGATTCCCCTGCACCCCACTGAGACCCCCCTCACCCCACCATGCCCCATTGCACCCACTTTCACCCAGCTCCAGGCAGTCCCAGCACCCATCTCTGCCGCCTCTGATCCAATAAGTGTCTCAGGGCTGTGAACTGCCTGATCCCCTGGGACACCCCCTCCCAAACCTCCCTCGGGACCCCAGGCTGGGCCAGCACCCATCTCAACACCCACCCTGGGTGCTCACAGGAGCCTCTGCCATCCCACTCGTGCTCGCAGGAACGCTGCTGTGACACTGGGGACAAAGTGGCTGACAAGATGGGTGGGGGGTCCTGGGGGACCTGGGAGCATGTCTTACCTGCTGGGGTGTCGCTGGGTGCCAGGGGGTGCCAGGGGGTGTCACAGGGTGCTGGGACCTGCTGCTCTGCCCAGCACCCAGGCACATCTGGGGCTCCCGGGGAGCTGCGCTCGCCCCATTGAGCAACGCTTCCCCTTTTCACCCAACGGCAGCACCCTGGGGCCATGGGGAACAGAAACCTGGGTGGCAGGGTGGGCACTGCACTGCATGGCACGGCACTGCGTGGCACGGCATGGCACGGCATGGCACGGCACGGCATGGCGGGGTGGGCACAGTGCTGCATGGCACAGCTCTGCATGGCACTGCATGGCTGGGCGAGCACTGTGTGACATGGCACTGCACAGCAGGGTGGGCACTGCACTGCATGGCACTGCATGGCACTGCACGGCTGGGTGAGCACAGCATGGCACAGCACTGCATGGCACAGTGAGCACTGCATGGCATGGTACTGTGCACCCACACTGCACCCCAGAACAGTCATACCTGGACACCGAGGGACATCCAGAGCTGGCAAATGCCACCAGGGCAAGGGACGTGACAGGGGCCCAGACCTGAGGCCACCAGCCATGTCACCAGGCTCATGAATTTTTGGGTCTTTTCCCCCAATTTTTGGATCTTTTCCCTCATTTCTGGGGTCTTTTCCCTCATTTTGGGGTCTTTTCCAGAATTGTTGGCTCCATCCAAGGCTGGGCATCTGGGACAGATGCTGGGGACAGAGAGGGCACCAGGGATGATGACACCAACATTGCTCCTGTTGCTCTATCCCCTCACACTGCGGCCACACAGGGGAAACTGAGGCACAGACACTGGGTTTGGAGCAGACTGGTGTGGCTTATGCCCCGTTTTGGCAGAGTTTCTCCTTAAAACTGAGTTTTGGGGTGTTTGCAGGATGGGTGCTAAGGGACATGCCCAAGGCTACGCAAAGCCATCGGTGGCGGAGGGG